TTCAAGTTAGACTGACAACTTATTATTCTAGAATTTATATCATCTAATGTGATGTTACAAGCTGAACACATTGTCCTGTCAAAATGGTGTAAAGTCAAAATGTTCCTTCTTATTGAAGTGAAGGATTTATACCTCTGTCCTCTAGCTTCATATTCGTGTGTGTAATATAGGACCAGCAGGCAAGTAAAATACCCATAATTCTGGTCACAGGAAATATAGATATTGACATGCTTGGTAATTTGATTTATTTTTTTTCGCTTCAATTTTCTTCTAAATTGTTTTTAGATTTTAATGTTTTTCATCGCATATAAAATGTCCATGATGTTAAATTTGTGAAAACTAGTTTTCATTACCAGATTTTATCTGCCGTAAGGGACAGTTTTTGTAGCATTAATGAATTTAACATTTACACTTGTTTATACTTCATATAGATATTAAGTTAAGCGGTGTATGGATCAATGATTTCATTCACATTTTTGCGTTATTATTGTGACCGAACCATAACACCAAAACTTTTAAATCGGGCACATCATAAAAACAGCGTAATCGGTTATCTGAAATCTAGTAAAACAGTGACTTATATGAGCGTAAGATAATTTGAGTGGATTACTGGATAGTTGAAGTGACGCTTATCTTTGGGATTTAAACCCTGAAACCTGTTAATATGGAATTTTGGAGCTGAGAAATATTATTAATGATTCGATAGGATTTTACGTTTTAAGATGGCATCATTTATGGATTACAGTGGTGGCCCTTGGCCATGGGAGGTATACTTATAATATATTATGATATATATATTTATATTGATTATAGAATTTTAAAAATGACACATGTTGAGGTTTATATAAAGTCATTAAACATTGCAATACTTTTATAAATGTTGATGCCGCAGATATGCTTATTGTAATGATTTTCTTAAACAGCTGTGGCGGATGAAACTGATTGTTATGTTCGTAAGGTAGTAAGAATTTGAGCTATGCTATACGATGTGTCTTATTTCTATTAAATTTTTATACGGTTGTCAATTTGTTCACAGCAGGCATAAACTAGTTTATAATTACTATAAAGTAGTGAAAACATAGTGATGAATATATAATTTGAGTTTTCAAATTTTCTGGCAAAAATAGTTTAAACGCTTATGATCTAAATGTAATTTTAATGAAAGTGAAATGTTATTTCACGTTTCCGCTCTAAGATATTTTATGTATGGTAACGCTAGGATTATACTGTTACATTTTTAGATGCTATTTCTTTATCATTGAAACCATCACCACATAGAATTTGTTGGAATTGTGTCTGTGAAGCTGCATAATGTTTTCTACTATAGAATAATATGTTAAGTTTTATTTAGAAAAAATCTATGGATCTAGGTCTTTGAGTCATTTTATTTCTAAATACAAGATGTTACAATGACATATGTTTTTGTTGGATATCAACCTAATCTACCAGTTGTGAATTTTGATATCAACCATACTTGCCTGTTATTTGTTTTGATATCAACCTTACCTGCATATTGCCTGTTTTGATATCAACCTAACCTGCCAGATGTGAGTTTTGATATCTACCTTACCTGCAAATTGCCTGTTTTGATATCAACCTTAACTGCTAATTGCCTGTTTTGATATCAACCTTAACAGTTACTGCAAATTGCCTGTTTTGATATCAACCTTACCTGCCAGTTGTGTGTTTTGATATCAACCTTAACTGCAAATTGGCTGTTTTGATATTCACCTTACCTGCCATTTGTTTGTTTTGATATCAACCTTATTCATTTGTGTCTTTTGATATCAATCTTATTCATTTGTGTCTTTTGATATCAATCTTATTCATTTGTGTCTTTCGATATCAACCTTACCTACCATTTGTGCATTTTGATATCAAGGTTGATTCTGTTTTAATAAGCAGCACATTTGATTTTATTTGCAACTAGAATGAATAGTTGTTTTTATTTTCCAAAGATCTGACACATTTCACCACAATACAATATTTATTCACCATGTCAAATCTATCATAATGGCAGTAACATGCATATAGTTGGTCGGTCTTCTACCTACATGATTAATTTCTTATATGTTATGAGGTAAATTCAAGAAATTGCAATTAGAAATGTAAGTGTTTAAGTGGGTTGACAAATTGACACCAGAGATGTCAGGAAAGTTAATACATGGTGTCGAAAGGTGATTGATATTTTACGGCCATGCATGTGGGTAATCTACAGATATTCGTAACACTTTTATTGTGATGGATGTTCAAATAGTGACATTTATCAATAAAAAACATAAGATTAGTAAAAAAAATAACAACATTGCGTTGAATTACTCATCAAGAATATGTAATATTGGCCGCAAAATGCTTTAATTATATAGGAAAATATTGTTAATTTATATCCGTTTTATGAGCACGAATTTATAATAAGCATGTGTGATATACGTAAATGATTGTACGCTTGTGATGTGTATTTTTCCTGTTACGTATTGACCTTTGTTGGTCTCTCGTCCTGACCTCTACTCATTTACATAAAGCCCAGTGTATCTGCATATAAAGAATGCGTACATCTCTAAACATTGGCACTTTAACATAATAAAACAATCTTCTTGTATCGTATTTTCATGTTGATATTTTATGTGTAAATTAGTCGTTTAACAATGTTCGTTGCTTGGAATAAACAGGAATTACATCATTTGGTAATGTAACAAGTATTCTGCTATGTTATATTTTGTTTTGTTTTGTATATATGTATCTTACAAATGAGTCTGTTTATTATATATCATTTAAACTGAATAAAAAGGTAAAAAAAACATATTTAATGAGAAAATGCAGTTACATTAGACTTAAAAATACTCTTAAATTGTCACAATTATTTTACTAACAAAAACACTTTGTTAAGAAAAAATAAATAAAAACATACCAGGATGAATATTGTAAGAAGATATAATGATAGGGAAGTCAAACATATGACAACAATGGTCATACATATATCATTACATATAAACTGAATTCTAGAGATATCAGTTTTAACTAACCAAACATCTGCATAATGGTATCTTCTTACAAATATAAACATTGTTTATGGGGATTCAGTTCCCAGTATTGCAGTAGGATATGGTTATAACTATTTTATACAAAAAAATGTTGTTTTTATAATCTAAAGTTTAATTTAAAGGCACATTATGCCTTAAAAAATAAATATTTTTTCCCTTCTTTAGATAGAGCATTAACATTAGTTTAATAATGTTAAAATGATAGTTTTAGAGCAGATGCTTGTCACATGGAGTAAATAGTGCTGGATGTGAAAGTTGCAAAATGTAAACAAAGTAGTATTTTGACTGCCGCCATACAATATACTTCATATAACTGTACTTAATTACGTAAAGGCAACAGAGGCAAAAGATGGTTCAGGTTATAATTGGCCAATAAGTAACTTTTTGGAAACTAATTAACAGGACACCAAAAATAAAAAAAAAACTTTTGAGAAATAAAAATAAAAGCATTTCTGAGGCATAATGGGCCTTTAAATGAGATTGTAAGAACTGATATATCAAGTTAATTCTCTTTGAATTTTTGCATGGTTGAAAAAAAAAACCCAGTAAGATTTTCAAAAGATCACAATGGTGATGATAGGTTAAGAAAACTTTTTTTATTGTAAATGATATGTTGAAGTATTGATCACTGTGGTACCTGGGTAGAAAATGGTATTGATGGGTAGATGTGGTAAGGTTGCACGATTTATGTGAACAATTGTTTATTGAAACCTCAACAATGGGATGAATTGTGGCGATGAACGTGATATTTCTAGTTTTGTATGTCAAAATAATGTTAAAGTCCCATTTAATCTGACTTATATTTTTTTTATTTCTCCTATTATACTTTTTTTACAGGGGACAAAATAGAGAGATGAATGTACCAAAATATTTCGTACAATTCCATCTGCATTTTTAATTTAACTTGTTTTAATAATGGTAATGATCCATATTCCTTAGACTATCAATACGTTTTTCTAAAAACTATAACAGGGGTCTGTGTCTTTATATAGTGATACTAATATTGATACTCCAAATTTAGATTTCTCTTCCACGCATTTAAAAAATTGAACAGAACTAATTTCAAACTAAACAAGAATGAAACAATCCAATTGTTTATAAGCCAACTTGGGAACATTTTTAAGTTGCTGCTATTAGTTCATCATTTGAGAGAATGCTCATATTTGTTTCAATAATCTCATTCAACATTGAAATTTACTGAATGCACTTGATTGTTGTAGTAAAATAACATACCATGCTCTCTTCATACTGAAACATCATTTGTACTTTGGACTGTCAAATTTGAACCAGGATAAAAAGTAACAATTTCTAAATATATTTAAAGATAACTTTTACAATAAATTTATGTTATGCTCTCAAACTCCTTGCTTATTATTAACACTATCTTGATCTAAATCTAGAACAATTTTAATGGTTGAACTGGCCCAACAATCCATGAAGTTATTTTCTAATGTGTCAAATTTGTTGTATGCACTCTATTCCTGGCCTAAACCTGTTATCTTTACAGTGATCTATCTAAACAATGAATCTTGAATATGAATGGCTTTCACATTTGAACAATTCAAAAGTTTGTTTTGAGTAATGTACTAAAGCATAGTATGCAAATAAGTTTCTGAAAAAAGAATATATATATAAAAGTTTAATTTGATGTCTATTCATCCATCAATTTTAAAAGATTCATCATTATTTAGTCCAGTGTGTTGCTTTTTTAGACACTTCTAATGTAAGCTTGTGTTATATTGTTTATTATAATTATAAGTAAGATTAATTAAGATACAATTTTATGATGAAAAAAAAACCAAACATAATTATTGGTTCAGAAAACCTATAACACTTTCAAAAGAAAGCTTCATCACCAACATTGAATGAAGCAGGCTTACATACATGTATATGTTTAGTAGAAGTTGTAGAGAACATAAACAGTAACAGCGACTCAGTATTATATTTGTATATTTACAGAGGAACCCAGACGATTACCTTGCCAGACAAAAGGCTCAGGAAGAAGAGGAGAGACTAGACTAGAAAAGAACAGATACCAGAGACGTTACAGTAGTGAGAAAAGGTCGGACAAGGATGTGAGCAAGAGAAGAAGTTATATAGCACCTCATACACCCGATGATGATGCACAGAAATTAGCTAGGGAATATAGACAGAAAAGACGGTCATTAAATTTGGATAAGAGATCTGAACATTCTGATAAACAAAAAACTAATAAGCCATCTGGCACAGATAGTGGAAGTAAGAAGCACTCTAGCTCTGAAAAGAAATCAAATGAAAAACCATTAAAAATTTCTACAGACTCTACTGATGGATTTTCACCAGACAGTGCATCGTCCCCAAGGTCATCTGGAGTGACCTCACCAAGGTCAGCAACATCACCACCTCGTCCATCTACCAAACGTAAGGCAGCTCCACCACCTCCTATCTCCACATCAACACCAGCAGACTCTTCTCCTGCTTTAACTAAAGAATCACCATCATCCCCGCCAGTACAACAGAAACCAGTAGAAGCTTCCTCTTCCAAACCCATCCCACAACCTAGATCACCTCAGTCTAAGATACCAAAGCCAGTCACAAACCAGGAACCACAGAATTCCACACCAAGCACACCTCAAAACAACTCTGAACAAATTGCATCAGTTCAAAGTAAATTAAACACACCACATGAGATTCAGCAGCCCAGTAGGCCACCAAGAAGGAAAAAGAAATCTGAAGAAAATAAGTCATTCTTGCATGAAAGCTTTGAAAAAGAACAAACTAGAAAATCAAAAGAAATTGCACTAAATGTGGATCTAAATGACAGTCCTTATGCAAGTAGTAATTTACAAGAATCAAAAACAGTTGATACAGTTAGTGAACCTAATTCTTATGATTTGAAAGAAGACTCTCTTTTAGATACTATAATAAAAGAACTGCCATCTTTTCAGAGTGAAAAGGCAGACAAAGAAGTTGAAGGTAAACAAAGAATTAAGAATGAAGTAAATGTAACAGTTGAAGAAGTCATTGTTGCAAATGTAGATTCAGGCGTAGAATGTGAGATTAAACCAGTCAAAGTTGATAAACCAAGAGGGAGACTTATTGAATCTAAAGGTGAATATAAAATAGAACTCACAGATAAGCAAGTAGAACCTGATAGAATTAATGCTGATGATAGTGATGAAGAAAAAGAGTTTATCATAAACAGACAGTTTCAGAATGATCGTAAGCGTTCATTAGAGTCTGTGGAACCAGAGAACTGTATAGAACATATGAGCGCAGAAACTTACAATAAAAGGAGTGAAGATTTGCTACAAACTTTTGAAAAAATTGCAGCATATCCTAACAGGAAAAATTTTAAAGATACAAAAGACACAATATCTATAGCTTCTGATATTTCTGTATCATCTGCAGGATCAGAAGCTCCTCCTTTACCAGATAGTGCCCCGCCTCCTCTTCATTTCCTAGTATCTTCTCAGCAAACACCTTCATTGAGTGAAAACTCTCAGAGAGTGGAAGTTAATGAAGTTATAGAGTTAGAAAATTCAAAAGAATCTGAAACAAGTCCAGAAATGTCAGAAGTCCCAGTTATTACAGAGAAGGCAAGTCCAAGGGAAGTTGTGAGTCCAATAGATGACCTGAAGGCTTCAATGTTCAGTATGCGTGTGACATCACCAACACGTGATATGACTGGAGGTGTACACACAAATGGGGAGTTAACTGTTGATACAGTTATGGGAAAAGGCGATGTAAACTCTGATTCGGATATATCTGATGATGGAGATTTAACTGGAAATTTTACCCCAGGTATAATGAATCAAAATGTTTGATACTGCTTATTGATTGTCTCTTTATACAATTTTCTTATACTCACTTTTATGATGGATTTTATTTTGTAAAAGGTATATTATGTTAAATAAAAAAAAAATTCAGAAAATTCCATTATTATAATAAAAAGTTCTCTTTAAAACTTTTAATGAATCTAAATATTTTCATGATCAACAAGCTCAAAAACATCTTCAGCAACTTAAACCTAAACCAAGATTTGAATTACCATTTTAGAGACCAAAGACTGTAATAATTATACAAATGAAACTAGCTATTTTGATTTAAAAGTTGATATATTACTAGGTGAGAAGATAACCAGAAATGTTCCAGTAGAAACCAATGAAGATGATGGTGGTATACAGCTTGTGTCTTACAATCCTAAACTGAACAGTCCTAACAGTGACCAGTCAGGTCCAGACTCTGCCTTTGAGGACATGCAGTCAAGTATGACCTCAAATGATCCTCTTAGTAACACCATCGATGACTTCTCTCCAGAAGATTATGTCACAGTGGAGAAAGTTGAAAAGGTAGAAGCTACACCAAAGAAAGAAGGAAGGTCATTCGTCCTGGAGTTTGATACTGATAAGCCTAAAGGTGGGGCAGTTCTAAGTCCAACAAGTAATAAAGACTTCATGGCAAAAGCTCAACAGTTTGCAGACTCTGTACAGAGGCCACCAAAGATGACAGTGAAATTGAAGAGAGAGATTCAGACTCCACAGGATTTGACTGATGAGAGATATTTACTGCTTGAGGCAGAGAGGCGAGCTGTTATCAGCTCCAGTACTGTAAAAAAGAAGAATGTTGTCTCATCTGTAACATATGAAGAAGGTAAGAATAATTTTATAAATCATCAAAGTATTCATAGATGATTATTTCTTTGGAAGGTCTTGTCACTTAAGATTGACTATAAAAACAATAATCACACATGTGTCAGAGATAATCAATCATCAGAGGTTGTCCAATTTATCATGTGACTTGCCCTATGGTACCTATATGTCCAGGAAAAAGAATGTTAGGTATATAGATTAAGATGTTATGAGTTTTAAAGTCCTCAATTAAGGCAATTGATATTCCTTGATAATTTGTATGTCTAATTAAGTCTAATTACCACTTGTCGTCTTTTGCTGTTTAAACTGCTCATTAGGGAGAGCATCTTATTTGTAATCTAGAGATGGCTGTTTTGATCCTTGGGGAAAACGAAAAATCTCTGTTATTTTTGAAATTGAATATATTGGTCACTTTTCTTTCACTGATGCACCAGAATAATGTGGGATTAGTACTGTGTAGTCAGTCAGTCACTTGCAGAGAAATATTGTTAATTACTGGTTAGTTATCCAGGAAAGCTGGTTAAGTAGACTGACCATCATAGAGATGTGACAAAAAATATACATGTATATATAATTAGCATTAAAATCACATGAATAACCAAACATATAAAGAAGCAGGCAGGTTATTAAGAACACATCAGACCTTTTTCCTTTAATCATAGTATAAGAAAACATAACTCCAATGTTTCAATTAAAGTATGAGAAAAAGAGTTTCTTCCCCTTACAAAAAAAAGCATTTGTCACATTTATGATGATATATAGAGGCAAGTAGTAAATCATTGTTTATTGTATGTAAGGAGATCAAAATACAGTGATTATTAACATTTCAATACATTAACTTGAATATGGACATAAAATGATAAAGGTAGTGTCTGGGTGAAGGTGTTAAAATGTGTCCCTAGGCTAAATCTTGTAACATTTCAAGTCTTTATTGTTATTTTAACTAAACAGATATTTTCTCATACTGTTATCTTTGTACTTTATGTAATCAGCAGTGAAATATAGTGATATTTTAGTAGTACTTATATTAAACTAATCAGAATAAGAAACAATCTCGTCAGGGATTAGAATTCTTTATGCGTCTGCTTGAGGAAGCTAATTGCAGCATAGGTTAATACGGAAGGTAGGTGGTTATACTTGGAAGCCCCATTTTGCCTGAAAAATTGCACGAAGCTGCACCTCAGGTCTTCCTCCACGTGTAAAGTTGAAAATTTGACAATACTGACCATTACAGTGTTGGGGTACTCAATACGCAATAAAAAAAATTATGTTAAATTATAGATCGGAGTAATTAAGGGAAGAAAAAATCCTTTTTCTGCCCATATCTTCATATCAGTCTCTTGTTTTGTCCGACTTGATAAGTCTACAAATCTTTTGTCACAGTATGGCTTTCAGTGGACTTATATTTGAAAGCGTATTAATGTCACTGTCCTAGTATACTTTAATATACAAACCTTTATTCTCAACGATTTTACCAATGTCTATAAATCAATAATGTAATCTTGCATAAGTATACTTTAATCTAACATTGAAGAACACAAAATTGCTATATAGTTACCTACCTGTTAGAAAGTTAAACAGATATAGAATTACCGTACTTGGATTTACAATAAAAAAAGTAGGAATTCTATTATATATTTCACCTTTGAAAATCCACAAGATTACTAAACACAAAATGACAATGTGTTTATTTGCTGATTGAACAATTTGAATAAGAATTTTGCTCGAGTTTGAATGCGAAACCAGTAAAACTAATTCAACTGTGACAGAAGGATTTAAGGTACAGTGAAATATTTACAAACAGTTAATGAGAACACATTGTCAACCACCGAAATACAGCTGCATGATCTGATGATTTGTGTAAATTTTTAACTTTAGTAAAGAATTATTACATGTGTAATTTATTCCCCATTGATATGCCTGGATTATTCTGTGTCAAGGTATGCATTTGCATACATTTATAACACCTTGGTGAATATACACAAGTTGTAATTAAAGTTTTGTCACGGATTATTACCATATTGAACAGGAAATAGGGAAAACAGTTTTAGAGCTGGAAAACTTGTGCGTTTTTAAACACGAGGTATAATTGGCTTTTCTTTTCATTCTGAATTGTAAGGTAATATGTTTTGAAAAACAAATATTGTTGAATTCTTGTAGAATCTTTCATCAAACTGTTTGAATTAATTTAAAAGTTTCAGTATAGATACATGTACACGTGTATTTTCAAAATGTCCGTTGAATGATTTAACGTAATTAAGTCAACAATCAGAGCACTGTTTGCATTATACCATAATAATTTTATCGTCTTAAGCTATCATTAGTGATAATGAAAGAGTTTGTTGATTTATTCAATATTGATTAAAAGTATATGTTTAATATAGCTAAAGTAAATGTTACGAATGGGTTATCGTAGCTTGCTGCCCGACTATAATCACCTGACCATATTTGGTTGTTGATAAAAAACAGAAACTAGTCTAAAAATATCAATGTTTAAGAGTATAAAAATGTAAAGGTCAGTTAGTGTAAAGATAAAGAGATAAAGCGTTTATCAATGTTTGATATGTTGAAACATGATCTATTGATGACAGTAAATGATCGTTTATGATTCACCATGTTAGATCTACCATGTTAATCTTTATGTAAATGATCGTTTATGATTCACCATGTTAGATCTACCATGTTAATCTTTATTCTGTGAAATCTTTTTTGGTATACATTACTATTCATACATTCAGTGATTTTTTTTATACCTAGGAAGATAACTGTGTTTGAAATTCTTATAAAAGTTCAATGTTCAAGTAAAAAAAAACAACTGGAAAACTTTAAGGATTATTTAGACATACATAAGGTAATGAATAGCTTACTATTTTAAGTTTTTCAGTTATAGATTATTTTATGAACAATTTCATCAAACAATTGGATAATATTGTTTGTATTGTATAATGATGTAGATACAGTGAAGAATAGAATAGTTTTTATCTCTTACCACACTACTATCTTAATTTTTCAATCTTGATAAAACTATGGGATATTTTATGTACTGACTTAATAGTTCTGACTTCCATAACTTTATATGTTGCTTTTTTTTGACGTTGTGCAACAGGTCTAGCAGTACTATAAAACCTGTTGGCTGAAGTCTCTATAGCTACTGACTGAATACAAAACAGTGCAGACCATGATCAGATAGTATATGGTTGTGCTGACGGACTTTGTTCTGCACTCAGGTTGCCTAGATAGAATCTTTTGCCACAAGTATCCTAGCTAATGGTTAAGAGTTTGTTGTCTCGCATTGTTTTATCTGTAGACATTCTTTTTACTATTTGAATGCAGTGCTTTTTATGAGTTTGAATGACTGACCTAAGATTGACATTTGATGGTTTTCATTAGGTGAGATTATTCTAAGACACATGATTCAGGCTGTCCTACTTACTATTTGAAATTTCATGTGTCTTGTTGGTCATTGTCTATTAAAGACCATTAACCCTTTGACTTTACACAGATGCCTTCCATTTCATATTTATAAGTAGCTGACCAACACCCATAACTCTTGCTTGGACAAACTTATTCTCTGGTTTTTAGCTCGACTTTTCTATGAAAAGGGGAGCTATCCTACTCGCCCCGGCGTCGGCGTCGGCGTTAGCGTTAGCGTTAGCGTTAGCGTTGGCGTCACACCTTGGTTAAGTTTTTCGTACCACCCCACTTTATTTCAGAAGTATTACAAGTATGGCTTTGAAACTTACCATACTTGTTCACCATCATAACCTCCATCTACAGACAAGAGTACATAACTCTGTCAAGGTTTTTGACAGAATTAAGAATTATGCCCCTTTTTGACTTAGAAAATACATTGAATATGGGTAAAATCCACTTATTGCCTTAACCCTTTGAGATATTGCTTTGAAACTTTTAATGCTATTTCACATCATTACCCCCATCTGTACGCAAGAGAAGGTAACTCTGTCAAGGATTTGTTTTAAAAATTAAGGCCTTCTATCGACTTTAAGGCCTTTTATCGACTTAGAATCTTGGTTAAGTTTTTAGTACCAGTCCACTTTTTGACTGAACTGTTTGAGATATTAATTTGAAAGTTGGAATACTTGTTTACAATCATGATTCCCAAACATGTCCAGGAGAAGGTAATTCTGTCAAAGATTTTATTTGAATTATGGCCCTTAACTGTCAATGTTTTGTATTATAGGCAAGCACTAAAAAAGTCGAGCGCGCTGTCTTACGGACAGCTCTTGTTTCCCCTGTTGTAAATGTGTCATGGCTTCTGCTTTACAATCAAGCACTGAAAATAGTCAAAAATGATGTTCATATAGTAGCACTTGTTTTTTTTTCTACCCTTTTTATTGCGAAAATAATCATGTACATGTACTTATATTAATTATGGTCAATATTAAAACCCAATGCAATTCATTGTTTTACCTGCAATTGTTGACAGAGCTTCAAACAAGACCTGTTTTGTTTTCTTCCATCAGCTTCATATGATTGTAGGTTTCAGACATTTATTTCTCTTCAGTTTTGAATTTTGATCTTAGGATGCCACAGTCTCCTACAAGTAGTCTCAGCAATGAAAGGGTGTGTGAAAGACTATTACCTTTGTCAAATTGGTTTCAAGGTGTGTTTTTTTCTTCTCTACAGTTTACCTTAAGTCATTGTAATTGATACCTTCCAAAGTAGCAGGTTAAGTCTTGACAACTATTAGATTGATGTATTACAATTTGATTTGGCGTCAACATATCAACTCCTTCTTTGACAACAGGCCTTACTGTGTTTTCGCTACAATTTATAAAAAAAACGAATTAAGTTATTAAAGAAAAATACCTGGTTTTATTGAAATAAAAATGCTTGCCAAAATTAAGAATGAATAAATTGTTTGTTATGTCGCGTTGAAAAGGGTTTTTGCATTTAATTAAGATACAGCCTATGTGTAACAACGAAGTGGTTTTATCGAAAAATTTGATTTTTATTAATGTAAGGGATTTTACAACAGGT